TATTCTCTGGATAATATTTCTCGTTATCTTGTTCTCTAACTGACTACTAAGAAGACAACAATACATAATGTATTCATTGTTGTTACTCTCCCGTTAGCTTGATGTACAACTTTATTTTATTTCTATTTCTCTCCTTTTTAAGATAAAAAAGAGGGGGAATGTAAGTAACAAATGAGAAATAGAAGAATACAAACATAAAGTGGGGAGGGAGGGTTAAAAGATAGGAGGGAAGAAACCCTGAAAGAGAGAACAGGTTAAATGGGTAGCCCCTGAACCTTACGGTATAATGATCAATATCAAAAAAGAAGAACCAAAAGAGAGAAGAAAATAAGAACAAAGAGTAGAAAGAAAACGTTAGCCAGGAGGAAGGCCCTAAAGCCAAGGAAGCAGCAATGTTACTATAATTGCAATCCCCAAAGGGCCGGCCAAATAGCTCAGCAGATTAAAGCGCCTGCAAGCAGGTGCAGGGACTGGGGGTTACATTCCCCAGGCCTGCCATGTTGGCCCCATCCCCAGGGTGCACTGAGGCGGCAACTGAGACTATGTGTAGTGATGTGTGCCTGTAATCCCAGCACTTGGGAGGTTGTAAACAGGAGAATCACTACAAGTCCAGTCTAGTAGTAAGACCTTGAACACCCTGTAGACACTTCCCTAAAAAAAAAAAAAAAAAAAAAAAAAAAAAAAAAAAAAAAAAAAAAAAAAATCACCAAAATAACAGCAGAAGTAAGAGTAAAACCCCCACATAGTTGGTGTAGCACTGATCCAGAGCTTCCACGCAGCTCCCTTTCTGTCGGCACCACTGTCTAGTTTTGAGTGTCCAGGGGCCAGACAATTGCCCGTCTGGAGCCTTGAGAACTGTCATTTCCTCCTAACTTGGGTCCTGATTTAAGAGCTCTGAGTACGTCTCCCTGAGGAAGTCTGTGGGTCTGATTACCTTAATTGAGTCGGAGGGGCAATAAATATTATGGATGTCTCTCTGTCTTCCCTCCACAAGTTGTCCTTGTCTATTTCATGGCCAAAAAGCCACTGTCCATGTGCCATGCTTGCCTCTCTGCCTTTTTGCTGCACATAATTGCTGTGAAACTGCTGTTCCCTTCCTTTTGCTATTCTCAGCTAGGAGTGGTGGGGGTTCCTCTGTGGCAGGCCACTACAGGTGAGGTTAGTGTGCAGAATGCTCCACATACAGCACGCCTATTGCATGCAAGAGGAACAAGTGGCTCCCCATCATCATATCATCATTTTTACTACTGGGGAAAACTTCTCTTTCCCTGAGGTCCTGCTGCCTACACTGGGGGCCCCTCTGCTGGCTCTGGAGCCCCTCACCTGCCAGTCCTGTGGGTGGGTGCTTGCATGTGTGGCAATCAAATTCCACCTCGTTTTGTTTTCAGCTTCACTGAGTTCCCAGTTTGGAGACGTCTCACCCCAGTGCACCCAAGGGGGAGATAGCGTGACTATGACTCTATCCAATCTGCCAGGCCACCGCTGAAGGGCTGGCATGCTCTCTCCCTCGGCCATTTCCCAGTGGGGAGCAATCTGGGCTTGGGTGGGGCCTGCGGTACTGTGATCCAGGAGAGGTAATCTCCCTCCACCCATCCTCTGCACTGGATTGTCCTCCCGGCTGGATTCTCTTTTTATTTATCCTCCCATGTCAGACTTGATATCTTAGCCTGCCTCAGGGTAAATGATTGTCTTCAATGCAGAGTCATAGACATTGGTCTACCTGTTGCCTCTTAGTCAGCCATTATTATCGGGTCTTCAATATTTTCTCTTTCTTTCTTTCTCTTTGTTTTTTCTTTTCTTCTTCTTTTTTGTTTTTTCTTTTTTGCAGTACCAGGGATTGAACTCAGGACCCTGTGCTTGCCAGGCAAACACTTATTCTACTGAGCTATCTCCCCGGCCCCAATATTTTCTTTATTTTTAAAATTATATTTAATGACCATGAATTGCCTTCTTAATAAAGTGAGCTTTGAAGCCTGTTTACCTATCTTAACTCATTTAAAAACTTTTTTCTATAAAGAGGCATTATTTGTTACATTTTATTTTTATCTGTTCTCTGCTATATTTGTACTTAAAATTCTAAGAAGTGAGTATGGTTTTCAGAAACAAAACTGAAATATCTATAATTTATTAGGAATTAGGCCAAATTGTATTTTTAAAATATTTTTATTGAGAAACAAATAGCAATGAGACAGCTTCACAACCAATTACTAGTACATTTTCAATAATTAATGCATTGCATATTGTTGTCTTAGTGGTTATTCATTGTACAAGATGCAGACATGATATCCTGTCTCAAACGCTATTAGAACAAACCTCTCTATTCACCGAATTAAGAGAATGGAGCTGCATATCTATCCTAACTATTTTGAGTATATAGATACAAATGGTCATTTATTTATATCCCCATTTTTTGATTAGTTTTGTCAGAGAAGGGCATTCCATTGTCTTTTAAATACTGTAGGTGCATGAATTCAGCAAAATATCCAAATATAGTCAATAGTTCATTATAGTAGTGGCCAACCTGTTTATTTATTTATTTATTTATTTATTTATTAGGGTCTACAGGGTTTTACTACATAGATTGGACAGCCTCATAGTAGTCCCCCTGTGTTCAGCCTCCTAAGAGCTAGAATTACAGGTGTGCGCCACTACACCCAGTCTCAATCTTGGTCTCAGCATGCTTTAGGGGTGGGGCCAGCACAGCACACCGGGGATACAACCCTGACCTATGTGTCTGCTTAAACAGGCACTTTATTTTTTTTATTTTTTTTCTTTCTTTCTTCATAATTTTATTGATAAACAAATAGCAATGAGACAGCCTCAAACCAAATCGGCAGGACAGCCTCAACAATCAACACACTGCACACATTCCCCCCAGTGGTCAACCGCTGCACAAGATGCGGACATGACATCCCATCCACAAACACCACCAGAACAAATCCCTCCATCCACCAAGAGAATGCAACCATACATCAATCCCAGCCATCTGAACACACAGATACAAAATGGACACTCATCTGCATCCCCTGCTTGCTGCCAAGTTCCGCTATCGGAACACCACAAGTGTGCAAACCCAGCAAAACATTCTAAAAGAGTCCAGCAACCCACAACAGCACCGGGTCCTCCGCTCGACTGGCAATGCCAGAAACCGCCAACCTGAGTCCCCCACAAAAGCAGGCACTTTAATCCACTGAGCTATTTGGCCAGCCCTTGTATTTTGTTAAATATATATTTCTTAGGGAGGTCTTTCTTTTTCTTTCAATCTTTTATTTATTTATTTGGTACAGGGTCTCACTATGCAGTGCAGACTCATAGTGATCCTCCTGTCTCAGCCTCCCCAGCACTGGGATTATAGGTGTGCACCACCACATTTGGTCTTGGTGGCTGGCACGGTGCACCTGGGGTACCAGGGCTGCACAGTGTGTGGTACTGAGGATCAAACCTGGGTCTTTGAACTTGCCAGGCAGGTGCATAGACCACCAACCTATCATCCCAGTCCAGGGAGGTCTTTCTGAATCAGTATTCTTTACTTCCTCAAACAGATTAGGTTCTTCTGTTAGGCAGCCTCACGTCCCCCAGAACTGTACCCTTTCCACCAGGCATTCCAGTACTCTCAGTCGTCTTTGTAGGTGATTGACAAACATATTGCTATGGAATTAAACAAGAGCAATGATGCAGAACTGAGACAGAAGATATGCAATTCTAGACTGGCTCTTATTATCTGAGGTTTTATTCAAACATTCCCTATCATAAAACAATTGTCTTTATTAAAATACACTTAGTTCCTTTCTCATTGCTGAGGAGGAAAGGTCTGTTCTGCCTCACAGTGTACAGAGGGCTCAGTTCATAGCAGGCTCCAAGGCAGGGTGGCATGGCAGAGGGGCACAGCAGAGAAGAAATAGCTCATGGCATGGCAGGCAGGCAGGAGCAGCCATCAGGTAGGAGGTATATACATCCTTTCAGGCCACGCCCACAGTGACTCACTCTTCCCACCAGAGTTCACTCTCCAACATCCCACCCAGCTATCAGCTCACCAGTAGACCAGTTCAGTATCACACACCCAGGAACCAGTATCACACACCCATGATCTGGTCACCTCCAAAAGTCCCACCTATTAGCCCATGAGGCATTGGGGGACACCTAGATATAAGCCATCACTCATACCTTTATGGGAAAAATCTAGTTCTCTTCAGTCTTTGCTGATATCCCAAGAAAGAGGGAATATCTGAATGCAGGGAACCCTCCTGCTAGGAATGCCTACCCAGAAGGGGCAGATGGAGATTAAAAGACAAGGCAAAGAGATGATCTTGAAAGAGGGACCAGGGCCTCCTACCTCTGGTGGACAAAGAGCCCAGAGTGTGTGGCTCACTTCACTTTTGGCCAACCTAGGCAAGGGATCAAGCAATTAGGTTAATGGACAATTCACTTATTTCTCATTACTGGTGAAGTATTCCCAATGAAGTATTTCTCTAAAGGAGATCTCAGCTGTTGACGACTTCTCTGGAAGTTGCAATGTGCCAGCACGTGTGACTTCATATCCACAGGAAAGGTCCACTGGGCCTTGATCTTTATGACCAGTTTCTCACATCTGAATTCTAAAGAAACTTTTTCTTAGCTCCTCCAGATAGTATATGAAAGCTTTTTTGGAAGAGTATGTGCCTTTAAAGACAAAAATTCTATTCTGTAGAAAGAATTCTAACAGATTGTCTTTACAAACCCTATTAGGCATTTTATTGAAGCTAAAACGTAGGGTTGTATATTTAAATATCACCATAGTCACAGTTCATATAGGATTCTGATCATACGTGGTGTCTTGTCATGCTGGAAACTGTCTTATTTATAATTCATAAAGTTCTACTGAGGAGGAAGTTAGTTTCAAGATGACTAAGTCTTGAAAGTATGGCAAATTTGTAAGTGTAAACAATGTCGTAATGATCTAATTTGAGAATATTTTTGACTTTGAAGAGAATAACAAGAGAAATTTCATTTTATTTTTGCAGCATTCCAGAGTACTAACCAACCATTTCGCCATTGTGGGACAGAAGCCTATCATATATACAACAATTAGAAGGAAAACTTATATACCAGATGACACACTGATAAACTGGTACTTGATTTTAAAAGTTTACATATAAAAGTTGGATTTACTATTAAAAAATTAGAATCTTAAAATTTTATTTTAATATTCCACCAGGTTACAAAACTGGTGGAATATTATTGAACATATCTTTATATAAGTTCCAAGGAACTTCTTTTAGGACACAAAAAAATTACCAACTCAGAAAATAGGAGTCACTTCTAGCATAGTTTTGTATCTCATGATAGAACTTAAATCTCAATTCAGAAGATTCATTCAGTGTGCTGGTAAATCCTAGCAATATCTCCAAATGTTTTCTGCTGGCTCATGATACTGAGCCACCCTGGTAATGGATGTTACAACACACACACACACACACACACACACACACACACACACACACACACTCAAAAATTCTACCTGAGAAGTAGCAGTCTGATACTATTAAAATTGGCAAATTGCGATGAGGTGTAAAGAGCCTTTCTTAACCCACTGAGTACATAGGCCTAGGAAAAGTGCCTACAACTAAGAAGGATGCAATTGCTGCCTTAAATGACACTGCCATTGTCTTAGTTACTTTCTTGTTGCTGAGACAAAATACCCAATACCAATGAGTTAAAGGAAGAGAGATTTATCTGAGCTCATAGTCTGTAGAGGTCTTAGTCCACAGCTGGTTTTCAGGCAGAGCAGCATAGCAGGGGAAAAACAGTTCATGGCATGGCAGGGAAGAGGCAGTGAGACTTCCTTCTTCTATCCCTTGTTACTCCATGCATAGTACAAGCCTATTGGTTGGTGCTGCCCACAGCCAGGGTGAGATTTCCTTCTTCAGTACATGCATCATCCACACCCAGAAGTGTGTTAAACCAATCAGCAGACTTACCCAGTATCACACACTCATGATTGCTCCCAAAAGCCTTACCTTTGAATACATGAGGCTTTGAGGGCAGCATCTAGATACAAGCCTTAACAGCAGTTAATGAGGGAAAGAAGCAAACCAAGAAACTCTTGAAATGTGAGCCAACATAAACCTTAAATTGTGGCTGCCAGGTATTTTGTCCCAGCAAAGAGAAAGTGACTGACCATAACAGATTTTAGTACCAGAGCAGTAGGGTCATTGCTACAATTATCTGACCATGTGGTTTAGAAGCTTCTAGAATTATTTATGGAAGGGGCTTGGAAAACTTTGGAGATGCCTTCTGGGAAGGCCCTAGAATGATTAACAGGAGATTTTGGTTAGATCCCAGAAGATCGGAATTCTCATAAAAATGCAGATCTTTTTTGGGGGGAGGGCGGCTAAGCCCACCCTGAGGGCAGGGCTGGCATGGCATGTGGTGCTGGGGGATTGAACTGTGGTCCCCTGCACCTGCCTAAACTTGCCTAAGCAGGTATTTTAGACCTCTGGGTTATCTTGTTAGCCCCTAAATGCAGATCTTAAAGAGCAAGTTCAGGAGATTTCAGTTGGGAGCCAGGACTTCATTATCAACTGAACTGAAGACTACATTTGTGATGATTTGATAGATAATTTGTTTACATTTTACTCATGCCCTGAGATCTTACAGGTGATTGAGATTAAGGGTGGTAGACTAATTAATCTAGTCAAGGAAACTTCAAGGTAGCCCAGTGTTGATGCTATTGCCTGAGGACTGGTGGCAGCTTTTAGCTATATCTACTATGAGAATTAGGACCCATAACCAGAGTGAAATAATTTGAAATATTGTGCTAGTGACCAGAAATGAAGTCCTTGTAATTTTGTTCCTTATACAATTTTGTCCCAAGACAGCTGGGTTGCTGAAAAGCTTAACATTGAAAAGAAGCCAGCTACTTTGTATCAGGACAATAAAAAAAAGTGCCTTGAAGGCATCCGAGAAATCTGCAAGATCCTACTCTTGGCAGGCTCAAAGGTGCAAGCTGTAAAGTGTTCATTTGAGAAGAGAAACAGGATAACATGCTTGAGAAGGGATACCTTGGAAATTGGCTCCCTAGGATGCAGTTTATAGTGCCTAGCCATGTAGACACTTAGAGACCTCTGCAGCCATGATTCAAGAAGGCCCAACTACTGCTTGAGTTGGTGTCAGATGTTGGCATCATCCACATGATACTGGCATGCAGAATGCAAGTGTTGTCTACTCACATTTAGAAGAAGGTCTGTAAGGCCTGAGAGGTTACATGCTATAAGAGTGAAGCCAAAAGTGGAATGAAGACCCCAGTAGGTTGGAGATGCCATGTTTGTGTTATGTCAGCTAAGGATAGCCATAGGCAGTTGGTAATGCCACACAAGACAGTATCCATGAGGTCTGTAATATATTTCCCTGAGACAAGCTTCTCTGTAGCTTATATCTCACTGAAACTTGCCCCAGGTGCTAAACATGGAGCATGGGATTAAATGTTTGACCTGCTGGGTTTTTGTTTTGCTTTGGTCCAATTTTTTTCTGTCCCCCTATTCCTGCTTGTTAGAATAGAAACATTGATCCTGTGCTATCATATTGCAGAAGTGTTTAATTTTCTTTGATATTTACAGGGGCTCACAGCTAAGAGTGTGCTTTGAGTCTCAGAGAAAAACCTTCCATGTGGACTTTCCAGCAGTGCCAGAACTGTTGGCGACCCTTAGAGAGGAATGAAATTCATTTTGCATGAAGAGATGTGCATGAATCTTTTGGGGGCCTGCCCAGACTATTATTGCTTATGTCGAGATCAACCCCCACAATGCACATGCGCAGGTGTTTCGGACGGTGATTGGGACATGGGGCCACTAAACTAAATGTGATGTTAGGAAGTGGGGCCTAGTAAGAAAGTGTGGGTCACTGAGAGAGTGACCTGTGAGAGTATCCCCCCTCCCCCACTTCTTCCCTCTTCCTCTGCTTTCTAGTCACCATAGGGGGAGCAGCTTTCTTCTACTCAGGCTCTTCCACTGTGCTCTTTCTGCACCAGCACTGGCCAAATATAGACTGAAACAAAATAAATGTCTACCTGTAAGTTGCTGATGATGGATATTTTGCCCAGTGATGGGAAGGTCCCCCAGATCAGGTTTAGAGACAAAGGATGAAAGGCTTTCCTGAAAAGGTGATATCCATATTTCTAAACAGAATGGGTTGCAAACTGGGGAAGCACTCAGATGGGGTGACACATACATGGACCTTCAAAGTAAGATGTGAGAAAATGGACACCTTCTAGGAGATGCTTATTTTTTAAAATGAAAAGACACAGTGGGACACAAAGAAAGAAGTGTCTCTCAACTAAAAACCTGGTTCACACTTTGCTACCACTTTTCTCTTACCTATTAGTGGACATCCAAAGAGCATCCGAAGACTACATTTACAGAAAACCTCCAACATAAAAATCAAAGAGTTAATTCAATAAGTAGAAAAGTGAAACTAAGAAGCAGCACAATGTAGGGAACACAAGCTTTCAAAAAAAAATTAATAAACTTAAGCCAGATGACCATCTACCTTACAAGGAAATTTTCAGTATCCAGGCATGTGGAATATGTCAAGAGATATTTTCTACATTGAAGGTTAAGTTGTTGCATCTGGCCCCTCTTACAACCAAGTAGAGAAAGTGTTGAGTGGGTCTCTTTAGATTTGAGATAAGCTATTCCTTATTTTGAAGTTACTCTAGTTTGTAGACCAAAGAGCCCTTTGATGAAGGGGAATCTGGGTCCTATTGAAGACTTGTACACTGATGTGAGTCTTTCTTCCAGCTTTTCTCTAAAGGACTCAATGCCTGTAATCAGGACAACTTTACATCAGGGAAAAAGAAAGAAGTGGACCTTTGGGGGAACTTTTAGACACAGACTCTGAACTGACCTTAAAACCAGAAGAACTAAAATGTGACCATAGCCTACAATCAGAGTAGAGGTTTATGGATATTAGATGATCACTAGGATTTTAACCTAAGTTCCATCTTACAATGAGATCACTGATTTTCTGAACCCATTCTGTGGGCTCTTTCTTTAGCTTCAAGATGAATAATTGGAATGATACTTAGCAACTCATGGAATTCTCATACTGGTTCCTTGACATGTGGAATGGGGCCACGTGGAAAGCATTAGAACTGCTTCTAATTAGGAAAATACTAAATCAAAGGCAATATTACATTTTGGGAGATATTTCAAAGACTAGTGTCACCATCAAAGACCTGGAAGAATTAAGGATAATGGGTTTTTCCCAATATATGTCCATTCAACTTTTATCTGTGCAGAAGACAGGTAAATTTTGAAGAATGATGGTGGAATGTCATCAGCTTAACCAATGATGACTCCAGTTGTAGCTGCTATATATGATATTATATGAGCAACTCAACATATCCCTCTATGGTATGCAGCTTTAGCTAAAGCCTGTCTTCCACCTCTGTCCATAACACCTAATGGAAGCAATTTGTCTCTAGCATATAAGGCCAGCAATATACCCATACAGTTCTATTTCAGACATATAGCAACCTTTCAGTCCTATGTCATGATTGGGCTTTTAGGGATCTTAACTACCTTTCATTTCTGCAAGACATTACACCGATTCACTATACGTGATGGCATGTTGATTGGATCTAGTGGGCGAGGAGTAGCAGTAGCTCTAGTCTTATTGGTTAACTGTCAGTATATTGAAGAATGTGAAACAAACCCATCTAAAATTCAGGGACCATAGAATTTATTGAAATTTTCAGGGGCCAGTGGTATGCACCCTGTTAAAATATGACTTCTAAGAGACTAAGTTGTCTCTGATCCTTTATAATGCTTAATGGGACTCTTGGGATTCTGGCTGTATACTTACAGCCCTTTATCAGGAGACCTGAAAAGCTGCTAGGTTTTTGTGGGACCCAGGACAAAAGAGGCTCTCCTGTGGACCTAGGCTGCTATGCAAGCTGCTTTGCCACTCAGGCCATATGAACCAGCAGATCTGGCAGTAGCATGTAGGGATGCTGTTTACAGACTTGTAGCCCCCAAAGGTGAACCACAGTGCTAGCCTTGTGAAAGTTGGAGTACTGGGCCTCCGTAGAGACTGAATGCTTGACCTCGTTACTGTGCAACCCAAGCTGTCCTTTATGAACTGAGTGTTGCCTGTCTCAGTGAGCCATAGACCGATCATCCACCACAGAAGAACACTCCATCATTAAATGGAAATGTCTTGTGTGTGATGGGGCCCTAAAATCCCAGAAGCACTAGTAAGTTACATGAAGAAGTGGTTCAAATGCTCATCATCCCCAGTCTTCTTACACTACCACACTTTTTCTCTCCTAACCTATATTTGGTATCACAGGGAATTCTGTGTGTTCTGTTGATATATGAAAAGAAATAAATATTTTATTTATTTTATCCAGATCTATGCTGATAAAAATAAGTTTTTCTAAAAGATAATAAACTTTGAAAGATGGCTCAAGGTGAGAGAGCATTTTATTCTTCTTTCTCTCTCTCCTTAGGACTTGGCGTGTTAGTCTTCCAATGACCAACGATGATGTGATAAAGAATATCAAAGGAAACCAAGTGATTTTCCAAGATTGCTTTATTGCAGATTTCACTTTCCTGCTGACTTTTCCCGTTAGGCTCCAACCGGAGATTCCTGGGTTTCTACCAATCTCTTCGCCAGCTGGCAGTCAGTTGATGCTGTCCTGGGATGCTTGTTTTCCTTCAGTTGCTGTTGTGGTGGCTGACATGGAGACCTTCCAAACAAATGATTCCTTCTGCACCTGGACCACAGTCAGGGTGCCACCAGACATCCTGAGTGACGCCGAAAGGCACAGTGTGTCTGCTGTGCTTCTGTTGCACGACAATATATATTTTCTAATAAATGGTGTTCTTTACCTAAAAGATATCAAGAAGATGATAAAACTAGGAAGACAGAATCATCTTCCTGAGGGTGAAATTATGGGGATTACATCAAGAAGATGGTGTTGGATCAAATATATAATTAAGGTCAGTGAAAGATTACATATATGTGATATCTTTATCTATCTATATACACATATACAGATAGATATAGATGTAGATGATGTAGATATATAGATATATAGTGTTTGCCATACCATGTATTTAATGACATACAAGAGACTATACTATGAAGTATTTTGCATAATTATTTTATATAAGATATAAAAAGCTTTTTTCTGACCCAACTTTTCAGAGCCTCGTTGTTTTTTTTGCGCAACCAGGGATTGAACTCAGGCCCTTGTGCTTGCCAGGGAAGCGCTTATTCCACTGAGTCATCTCCCCAGCCCCTTTTT